AAAACAAGTCACTTGTTAGTTTTGATAGCACTAATTTGATTTTAAATCAAATATGTCCATTCCTATGGTGTGTGTGAAAGTGCTAGAGACTACATTATTGAAAGGTTAAACTTTGTAGTTAAACAAAGTTTTTAATGATCTTCATATCCCTTACAGGTGTTGTTTGATTTGCAGCATACACTTGATGAAATCACCTATATGAGTGTCAAGTGGGACCGCTTGCATGAGATCTTGGCATGATCTCATGAATATTGGGCACGCGCATGACCTGGTAAGCACATCACAACGATAATAGTAAGGATTGTGAGGGTGTACTGTGATTGATAAACCTCTAACACACTCAAGTGTCTTTGCTATACAAACTACATCGTGTGTTAAGTTTCTTGATCTAAGACTGGTTCATATAGCTTGTTATACCAACTCTGATGCATTACATCTTGTGAAACCCAGAATAATTTCTTTTCACTTTCATTTTTATATATTTTTTGCAATATGTGGAGGATTGTTATAAATTTTGAATATAATATTGCAAAATATTTTGATTTGAACGATGATATTGTTTTACAAGTCTCGTGCTTCTAATGTAAGTATTGTTGCCAATGTTCATTTTTAGTTTGCAACGTTCTTATTTATTAAAAATTCTTTTTCTCAAAAGATATTTTGGCAAATATTTTGGATCTTTTGGATCATGGGCCTGGTTCACCAACTCTATAAATAGAGCACTTCATTCACTCTAAAATTATCATCAGAAATCACTCTTTTCTCTCATTTTCTCTTCTCTTAGTTTCATTATTTCTCTTTTCTTCTTTTCTTAAAAATATTTTAGGTTTATTTTATTCTCTTTTTAGATATCCTTGTTAGTTCTGAGATCCTAAGAAATTCTGATAAGTTCATGTTGTATTTTGGGGGTTTGTACAATACACCGCGTATAAGTCCTTAAGGACAATGATTTACACAGTTCAGGAAATCCTTTATTTATAATCTTTATTTTCAATTATTGTCGGCCTCTACAACAATAACCCCTTAATGTAACTCCTCATGAAAAAATAACATAAGAAAAATAACTGATTCTAAAACCTAATATTTCTTAGAATCATTTACGTGATGGTACTACTTACTACTTACGATCAGAAACTTTTTATTTTGAAAAAATAACATAAAAATAAATAATTATTCTAAAATCTAATATTCTCATCTCCAAACCATCTATCTAACCGTAATACTTACAATCATTTTAAGTTTCTTAGCAAAGAGTTAAAGAAACTTCGTAAATTAAACAACCGAGTCTAAAGAAAAGAACTTAAGAATAAATTTATAATTACAAATTAGATTTTACTTTTAATTATATAGAATAATTTAATTGTATAAAAATAATAATTATTTTAATTTATTCGATTAAAGACATTAATTAATCAATTAAAACTATATATATATATATATAACAATTTTCTTTTAAATATAAAATATTAACGAAAATTAAAAAAAAAAAAATGGGCAAACTAGGATGCTGGTCCGGACTTTAGCGAGATGGTTTAGAATTTTCAACCAACTGACCTATTATAAGTTATCCCACCTTAATTTTTTATGACCAACCGCGAGATGAACCATTTATCACCACTAAATTTTACGAGGTGTCACAATAAGATTGGTAGTGTTATGTAACAGAAAAAAACCTTTTAATTAGGTTTGTTGGTCAAATTAAATATTTATACAGATCAGGACGGTTCAAACTTTTAAAAGAATTTACAATAAAAATAACTAAATGAGACATAAATACTATTCTTTAAACAGTTGAGTCGTATCTTCCTCATCACAGTACATCGATGCTTTTAGTGGACAACAGAGGAGCTGCAGAGGAACTCACAAGATCACGGTTCTCGTTATTCTCCTTTGCCACATTACTGTCTTCAGCATGTGCCCACAGCACCAAATAAAATCCAATACCTATTATCGCCGCTCCAATCACACTGCACCAAAAATTACACGCAATCTTATAACATAACACATTTCAGCAAAAATCATTTTTCATTAAATTTCCATCCTTAATTAGACCTATTTACCTTCCAAGGTAAAGACTCTCTCCCAGAAATATCACCCCCATACCAAGTGCAATCACCATTCCCAAAGGGTTAAACATTGCTACATAAACTGCTCCCTTCTTTCGGCATCCCCATGTGCACACAACACTTCTCATTGATACAACAAATATTGCCTACAATCACAGCAAAATAATGTAACACAGAACATCACATATTACTTAATATAATATCATAAAAATAGCATAATGTGTTCGTAAAAGGGTTATCTTACTGAATAAAATACAGCTATGAACTCTCTCTGAGATGTCAGTATCCAAGCTTTAGGATTTCCCTCTGCAAAGACAGCAACTATGGCAGAGAGGATGACCACCATGCTGCAACAAATGGTTGTTATCACTAACTCTTCAGGATATTCCTTCACAGCCGAAGTCTGCAGTGTTGGAAACATAGTAAATTTTTTGTTCTTCATTAAACTGCAAAAACTGGTGTGCATGTTACCTGAACAATAAGCAAAACTGAAATGCAGAGACTGGCAATTGCAAGAAGAAAACCACCAACGATCCAATCTGATTGCTTTGAAAGGTAAGTTCCATTTTCACCAAAGATAACGTTTCTCAACGAATTGAAATTCAATGGCGTTCCTTTATATAGAGTGACTATGAATGCCCCTGCAATGGAGACCACTGTACCAAAAACTTTTGCCTGGCAGCTTTGCTGTTTCAGATTCAGATTTTCCATCCTGAAATTGCACATCACATGGATCAAGAAAGTTTAATTGTAATGATAAAATATGTACAATTAGTAAAAATTGTTAATTTCTGCGATAATTGTTTTTTAAGAATTTAATTGGAATATACAAACATTTTGGGTTAAGTGAGATAATAAGATTACAAATTTTATGATCATTGTTTTAAAAATTACAGTTAATATGATTTTTAATTAACCTAAAAATCTAAAAAACTTTGTTTAGAAAATGTATTCAAATTAATACTAAAATTAAGCTTTCATAATATTAAAGTGTTACTTCTTATTAAGGCACATCTCATTCAAGTATTTATATATTTGCGAAAGATAGGAGACATTTGATCCTCCAAAATTTGTTAGTTTGACAAAACTTTTTAATTTAATTTTGTATTCCATAAATAATTATAAAAGCAAAAATTTATTTTAATTTTGAAAGTCAACTAATTAATTAATTGATTGAATAAATGATATTGATTAGGGGGAAGATGATAGAAAAAGAACCTTGAAATAAGGGCAAATATGAAGGTAAAAGCAGGAACAAGGTCAACCATAGCAGAACACAGTGTAGGAGAGCTGTATGAGATTCCGGTGTACATCAACGTCTGCACTACAGTGCTGCACAGTTACCTTAAGGTCATCTTCCAAATATCCAAACAAAATAAACTTTCCAGTAAATTGTTCTTTTATTAATTAGAATTGAAGTTTCATCTAAAATATTAATAAAAGTTTACATTAAAATCAGCATAGTTTTTCATAAAATATTAACTCTTATAAAAAAAAAAGTAGTTTGTTTGAAAACTAAATAAGTTGAATGTTAAAGAAAAGAAGTTACTTTATGTAAACATGTGACCCATTGAATTATTTATTACTAATTTTTAAATTAATGTAAAACTTAAACTCATTATAATAATTTGTTTTTATATATAAGGAACAATTATAATAAAATTTTCCGTGGATTTCATATATTATCTATATATGTTAAGTATGAATATTTGAGTGGTTTTGAGTAGGTTGATACCTGAGGCAGCTAATAGTAAACATTTTACAGAGAATTGATGTTGGGATTGGAGGAGGAGGTGTCTTCCTGTGAATATTGCAGAGGCAAGAATGAAAAGACAATAGAAGAAATAATGAAATAGCAAGCTACATATAACAGTGTAAAAGAAAGTTAAGATTTAAGAGTTGAAGAAGAGAGACCTGTGGTAGAAGAAGGTTGATGGTAAGAGGATGAAGAGAGCGAAAAAGTTTGAATAGACAATGAAGACAAAATTACTCATTCCATTGGTGTTTGCTTCTTTGATCAGAGTGTTGAGACCCACTTCCAAGAACTGAGTTGCAATCATTGCTGCTGTTACACCTAATCCTACACCCACCATTTTCACTCGTATGCTTCTTCACTTCTCATACTTCTCCTACACTCATCTCGTTTACTTACATTTATAGTAATTTTGTTCAAATTTCCTTTTCCTCTCATGCCTTCTTCTCCCTTTCGCGTACACGTAACTAGTTTTATTACTTCATACTACATTTTTTTATGCTTTCACATTTTAAATTCAATTTCTTTCCTCCACGTTTCCATTAAGACAAGGAAGGGGTGCAATTATTTGACGCCAACATCGTACCCGATTATAAAAATAAGATAAAATAAATGTATTTTATTTTAAACTTAAATCGTTTTTAGGTCATTGTTGGTTTTTATTTTAATATATGATAAATATATAATTTTTTCACTTTAGTTCAAGAATCTTTGACACCACAAAAGTGAATTACATTCATTTCACACCACGCGAGAGAAAAGAGTGAAATGAAAATTTGCTGAGTGGAAAAATTTTGAAATTACAAAGGTTTCATTTCCGGTCCCCCCCGTTCATATTAAAGCCGCTTATTTTTGTTACTTTATGCTTATTTTTGTTGGTTTGTGATTTTTGTTGTTCCTTTATCTCGTTGTGTTTATTTGTCCGAACTTTATTATTATTATTATTTTGTTTCAAATTTTTGGGTAAAGGATTGTTTTAAAGTAGTTGTACAGTGACTAGGGGTCTAACCCATCACTGTATTGCTTCTTTTTCTTTTTATATTGACAACGAAAAATATTACATGCGAATAGATCGAAAGGATCGATGGTACTGACTCAATGTAATGATATTTTTTTATCGAAAATATTAATATTAGTATTTATTAGGATAATATTAATTGTTAATATTTTAAATTAAAAAGGATCCATATAATGATATTAACTGTATGTAATGATACTGACAGAATATAAATATTATTTTTAATTTCAACCAAAAAAATTTAGTTTATTAATTAATTTGTAACACCGTACTTTAATATATTAATATTATCATAATTATAATACAGTAAGTAACATAAGATATGTATGCAACTTGAGCGAACTATAACTAGAAATAAAGAAAATTTCTCACTCTCTCAAAAGGTTTATGTACAACCAAATCGGATCTAAAGAAATTAAATTGTAATATCTTTCTCGTTTTGAATGGGATTAATTAGCATTTATATGTCTATTCACACCGATTAAATAATTACCCCAAGAGAAAAAAACAAAATAAGACAAAAACATAGAAAATAAGAATAAACTAATATGAAAAAAGTATTTTATATAATGGAAATAATGATTAATATTTTAGTCAATCATACAAATCATTGATAAAGACAAATATATTACATACAAAGACTCACAAAAGACTCAATTATCTAGATACATGCATTGATATCAGACTCTAGCAAGGTTTACTGCTCTAGCAAGGTTTACTGCTCTAGCAAGGTTTACTGCTCTACATAGTTATTGCTAATGGGTTTCACTCAACCACATACAAAATTAGTCCGTTAACATCTTTGGCCAAGGTAAACCTCCTACACTAGGACATTTTGCTTCTCTCACCACATATCTCACCAATCTCTACTTAAGACTAGATAGTTATTAAAGCATCAGGATAACTTTCAATACCAAATCATTATATTAATGCATACACTAGCGAAACCAAATCATAATCCTCCTTGTATCAACACAAACCATCCTTTATACAAATTTCATATACAGATAATTCTTTCAACAACTTATAAGATCTAGTAATATATACAAGTGAACATAGAAATGACTTAAACTTTGTTAGTGTCGCTCAACAACGGTATTCACTCGCTCAATGAGTAGTGCTTGAAGATCTACTCACCCAACGACTAGACACCTCGCTCAACGATACTAGTACTAGAACTCAGAGATTAAATCACTCATAATTCGCTCAGCTTACCTTTAACACCCAACCCCCTCCATTAGAATAGGGTTTGCCCCTCAACTTAAAGAGACATTCACATTTTCTTGTGTCGGATACACTCGACTTAACATCAGGTTTGTACTTCTTATACCTCTCACTCTTTTCACAACCTAACAACACAAACATTTTTCTTCTTGGTTCATCATTTATTGTGTCAGATCTTATAATAAGCACAAAAAATCCAAGATCAAATGCAATCCTTCAAACTCATTCAATTATCTCATCGCGTGATGGAAATATTTTACCGATTGTAAAATTATTTGTGTAATCTTCCTTCGCCACTTCATTTATGAAAGAAGAAAATTTGGACATAAAGTTCAAATTTATTTGTGAATCCATTAACTTAAATGGATAATTATCTATCTTAAAATATTAATCATGACCTATATAACAAACATGTTTACACTCAATATACCTCACTAAATACTAATAATAATATTAATAGTAATAATATAATTTTAACATATTAAAAATTAATTAATAAAGAAAAACCATGACTAAAATAAATAAATTTAAAAGAAATTAAGGAGGAAACAAATTTCGAAATGTGTTAGATTTGTAAACAGATTTTGAAAGTCGTAGGTGTCTTAACCGAATTTCGAAAGTTGGTTAAGAGATTAATGGATTTCAAAATTTGTTGAACTCTTAACCGACTTTTAAATCTGATTAAGATCTCATCGATTTTCGAGAGCTAGTTAAGGACTTGATAGATTTCAAATTTATTAGACCTTAACTGACTTTCAAAATTCGATTAAGAACTTGTCAACTTTAAAAGGTCGAATAAAGATTTAACAACTTTCAAAAATAGTTGAATTCTTAATCAATTTTCAAAATCAAAACTCGTTAGATTTCAAAAATTATTAAGAGTTCAACTATTTTCAAAATCCATCGTTTTGTGTGAGCTTAACTGAATTTGAGAGCTTCCACGCACCTCAAACAATTAGGATCACCAAATAGAGGCCACCAACATTAACAAAGAAACCACTGACAAAACAACAAGATTATATCACAGTAGAATCACTATGAAAAACAAAAAAAGAAAATGAGTGAAAATGAGTAAAAGTCAACGAATGAGCGAAGTAGAAAGAGGAAAAACAAATAAATATATAACATTCATTAAAATCAATTGGTAAAAATTTAATGCATTTAGTAACATTTAATTATCTCTTACTGATCTATGTTTTTTTTTTATTATTCAAAAGGTAAAGAGATGTTTTGAGAATTAGATGGAAAAAAGAGGTAGGTGCGTGGAAGCTTCCCATTTGGTCCTCTTCCTTACTAAAGCAGCTTATTTTTGTAGTTTGTGTTTATTTCTGTTGGGTTGTGGTTTCGTTTGTGATTTTGGATGGTTCCTTTGTTCCCTTGCGTGCCTTTATTCCCTTAATGTTTCTTTATCTCCTTCTGTTCATTTGTCCGTACTTTACATTATTATCTTTCAAATTTTGGGTAAAGGGTTGTTTTGAAGTGGCTGTGCAGTGAGTCCCGTTCAACCCCACCATTCTCCTTGATAATTTTTTTCTTCTATATTGACATATTACATATCTTATGACAAAAGATATTAATTGTTTAGACAAAAATATATATATAAGTTACTGATTATAAATGAAACGTTAAAATATTACATGCCAATAAATTGAAAGGATCGATGTAGCGGTACTAACTCAGTGTAATGATATTTTTTTTTATAAAAATATTAATTATTCCGACAATTGTCTTCTCTTAAACATGGTAATAATTATTAATTAAAAAACAAAATCAATTTTTCTCTCTATCTTTTATAATAATGTCACTTCAAATCCATAAAAATTTTGATTAAACAATTACTTATCATCCGATTTTCTTTTAAAAAATGTCACTCAATTGAAAATAGTTTTCTCAATTCATAACACCTTTCACAAGTAAAATTATCTTGTGTTGGTATTTTATGATAATCCTATGGTGTAGATATAATAAAATGAGTGTTGTTTGAACTATGTTTAGATTATGTTGCTTATATGGCTGTGTGAAAGATAATTTACTTATATGGTAATTTGACATAATTAAATATTGTGATATTGAGCTATGGTACGGTTATGAGAACGAAATATATACGGTTCCTTTTAGGGTTGGGTACAGTTCACTTAAAAACCATAAACTATAGTTTATTTATACTGTTTTGTACTTAAAAAACTTAAACTACTTTTACTAAAAACCAATTATATTGTTTAATAGTTCAGTTTGAAAATACTGAACTTATTGTATAGTTAACCGTTAACTGGAGTTAACCGGAGTTTAGATCATTCTCTGTCTCAATTTTCTCCCAACTCGCGGCCACTGAAAGCTTGTCACTGTGCCCAAATGATGAACACACGTTTTCGTGTATAATCTCCAAGGTATTAAAATGTAATTTTCTTCTTTTCTGGATTGTCTAACTTGAAAACAAAACCGTAATACTTTCGAATTGTTTAATTGAAAAGGGGAAGATGATGTTTATGTAGGATTCTAAAAAATTTCTAAAAATTTTGTTTCAAAAATAAGTTGAAACATGTAGTATCATAGTTACTTATTTTAATAAGATTTCTTATTTTTAGATCTATTGATTTTATAGAATTAAAAGTAGATTTAAAACTAATTGTTGTTAAAAACTTGTTTCAATAACCTTATTTAAAAAATTTTGTTTAATAAAACTTATTTCGAAAGGCTTCGTAATAAAGAAAACATATCATAAAAATTAAAATGGTCATTTCAAAAATTATAGAACAGCATTTAATAATTATGGGGTGCAGTGAGCAAAAGCCTGACACGTATTACCATTCATAAACAATTTGCAGAAATATTTGAATCACGGTTAATTTTGGGCACAATACTAATATTTAACAGCAGTGCCAAAACATTTCGTTAGTTTGAGTTAAAATAGTTTACTGAACTAAATTATAGTTAACTAAAAAAATACTTAGTTCAATTCAGTTAACTGAACTATTTTTTAGTTCAGTATAGTTTTCATAAACTAATTTATAGTTAATTATAAATTTGTACAGTGCAGTGAACTATAGGACAGTTTGCCCACTCCTAGTTCCTTTATCCATTCTTATATCAAGTATCTTAAAAGTATTAAACAATACATTAAATCATATGTAAGAGAAAAATAGTTTCATTCTTATGTTGGTTTGAATTAAAAGACATATATAACG